GATGCCAGCGAGGAGCAAGCCTGTCATGCCCTCCGGCCCGGGGCAGAGTCAGCTGCCCCGCCTCTGCAGGGCCACGCTGGGGACGCTCCCCACTGGCTGAGTGACAGCCACCGAGACTGGATAGCTCCCCAGCGTCGGTGAGGCCAGGCAGATGTGAGGTCACAAAGCCCAGGATCCCCTGGGGTTGGGCTCCGAGAATGTCCCTCTTCTATGTCTGAGACTGCTTTCCAGTCTTGCTCAAAGACCCTTTGACTCCAACCACACGGCCATTTCCTCTCCATGGCCACGGCCACCACCAGGTCCCAGGTCGCCGTCAGCCGCAATCACCTTCTCACTGGTTCCCCCTCTCCCAGGCTTGCTCTCCTGAAACCCAGTCCCCACCCTGCACCCTGGTCATCTGTCTGCAGCGCAGACACAACCATGCCTCCCTGGTTTGAAGCCTTCATGCTATCAGGGAGACGGCCAGCTCCTCACCGCAACCCAGCCCTCCTCCCACCGACCCCTCCCCCTCGCCCACCAACTGCAGCCACATGCACCTCCTCCCAATGTCTCCAACGTGCTGGGCAAACGTCCACCTTAGGTGGTCTCCCCAGCTGCCCTTGCTGCTTGGAAATCTCTACTCTGCTCCCTCTCTAACCATGCTTCTCTGACGGTGGCCCCCAGACCAACAACATCAGCACCTCCAGGTGATGCTGATACGCATGCAAATTTAAGAAACACCAATCTAATTAACTCTTGTCTGTCCCTCAGAGTGGAAAGTTTAGATCTTAGCTCAGATGCCACTTCCTCCAGGGACCCTCCCTTGACTCCCTGACCAGGACCCCGTGGCACACCATGATGCCCCTCCTGTACAGCCCTTCCCAGCTGTGCGCGCACAGTTAGTTGTGTCATTCGTGGGAAGGCTTTCTCTTCCACCAGAACATAGGCTCCATGTGCCCAGGAAATACATTTTTCACCGATCTAGTCCCAGCCCCTAGAACCGTGCCTGGCGCATAGTGAGTGACTAACAGCAGAAGCAAGCCCTCCGCTCCCAGCCCGTCCTGCAGCAAATATTTATATTTACCATGTACTCATTCTGGGCCAGGTGCTGAAACAAAAAGGAAAGGCAGCCCCTACCTCCAATGAGCTACCTGCCACAAGGGAAAATAAACATGGGGACAAATGGACTGAGTTGCGTCTTCAAGTCGAGATGGACAGTCCCCAGTCAGAGAAGTCAGGGAAAAGTATCACGGGTAGAAGGAACAGCATGTGCAAAATGCACGGTGACTTAGACGATGCAGGGAGTTGAGCGGTTGGAAGCAGCTGCAGAAAATGAGGCTGGAGAGTCCAGTGGAGACGCAGTGGTTAAATGCCACTGAGTGAACACTAGGCTAAAGGGTTTGGATTTCATTGCATGGGTAGGCACTGAGGAGCCACTGAATAATTTCGATGAGGCAAGTGACCTGATTTTTTTTTTAATCATTCCAGCAATAGAGTGTGGGAAGCCAAGAAGAGAGACTTCCTTAGGTCATTTATTCGCCAAGTATATAGCGGGCATGGCCGTGTGCTGGGTGCTGGAGCACAGACGTGGCCCCAGGAACTGCAGCCTGTCCTTCCGTCCACACCGTCTTTATCTTTGCCTCTTTCCCAGAAGAAGGAGATCACAGCTACCTCCAACACCCCCACTCTCTTGCCCTCGATCCTGTCCCTGGGCCCCTCCCTGCGGCCTCCAGGGACAACAGAGGTGCCCACAGCCCCCGGCTCTGGCGAGGTTCTTCCAGGGGAGGGCAGGATCCGTCTGAGACAATGGGCGACTTTGTTGCTTCTGCCAGGGCCGCTCCAAGAATAGCTGTTTGCTCAGCTCCAAGCAGGGCTGGTGCTGGGCGGTGGGAGGGTGTGGGGCCCTGGAGCTTTCCTGTGGCCCAGGCATTAACCCCCTGAGCCTCGGGGCCTCCTCCAGTTTCTCCCTGGCGGGGAGCAAGGAGGGCAGCAGGAGGTATCCCTTGTAGCACTATTGTCAGAGCCTGGGTCGTCAGCAATCACCCTGCACTGTGAGTTTGTGAAGCATTTTTTTTCTAAATAGAATTGTATGCAGAAACCCAACATATAAAACCAGTTGTAATAACAGGGGCTCTAGCTGAAGTGGGGATGCAGCTTTTCAGCACCTCCTCCCCACCCCTTAGCCCAGGACCTGCCCCCTCTGTCCTTTCCAGACTCCGGCCACCTCTGACCTGGCCCCAGGCCCCCATGTGCCCCTTGATGAAACAGACAGAGCAGAAGCGCCTTGCTCGAGGCCACCCAGCAAGTTGACGGTCAAAGCCGGGACTTCCACTTAATGTTTCCCAGCTCTTACGATTTTTTCTCCAAACTTCATTTCACCTATATAATACTATCAACAGTTTTCTTTAAATCAACTCACATGTTCCTTCTAACTTCGTTATAAATGGAGACCTTACATCATTGCCATAAATGGCAGGTCTTTACAATTGCCATAAAAGGATAACACATTTAATAAATACATACATCTTTTAAATTGTTCATCCGCATGCCACTTAAAAGCATCTTATGCGTGTCCCCACACCTGCCTTTGGGAACTGCTGCCTAGTGCTTCTAAAAGGCTCACTGCTGCCCTGCTCAGCCCCACACTGACAGCCCCCTTAGTAAATAGCCCCCAACAGCATATTGGGCTCAAGGCACATCTGCACACGTGCCTCTAATCCAGGGTTTTTGCTTCGACTCCTGGTGACGGATGTGGACACAGGGCAGCAGGCCCCGCCCACAGGTGTGTAGCCTCAGGTCAGCCCGGGGCTCCCCTGGCAGGCTGAGGCATTTAGAAGGGCACAGACAGACGAGAATCTGCGTGGTGCTGGAGCTCCCCCATGGAGCTCCCTTCCCAGCAGTGGGCATGCGCTGCTGGGTCCCTGCCCACACACACTCTCCCTGCAAGGGCCCAGAGCCAGTGAGTGGTCTGTGGCCTGGATCAGAGAGACCCTGCGTGGTGGCCTCTACGGCTTCACACTCACAGCCTTGGCCTCCCCGGGGCTCTAACCCCCAGGGAGTACGGCTGAATGTCTGGACCAGGGATTCTCACACTGTAGCCTCTGGGACAGCAGCTCCAACAATTCCTGGAAACGTGGTAGGAATGCCAGTTCTCAGGCCCCACCCCAGACCTACCACATCTGAAACATCTGAAACCCAGCAATCAGTGTTCTAACAGGCCCTCCAGGTAATGCTGCTGCTGCTGCCACTGCCGAACTTGGAGAGCCATCGGTCTGACGCTCTTGTTCCACCCTGGCTCCTGCCCACATCCTCGGCTGCCCCAGCCGCACCTCGGTCCTGCCAGCCAGACTCTCCAGATGGGGTCCGCACATCTGGATCTTTAAAATAAACCCTGAAGGTTTAAACGACACCCCAAGGCTTGGATGCCCGGCCACAGTGGAACACTGTTCCAGAACCCGGGAGCATCAGGCCATCCAAACAGCCGACACGCCCTTGAGGCAGACACGTGTGCCTGTCTCAGTCCCAGATCCCCTGGAATCCCACCTCAATCCCTCTTTGGCCTTGGGAACCTTCGGGCCAGAGCCGTGGGATTTAGCAAACCCACGAGCCTCGGCCGCGTTCTCCCCTAGCCTCTCTGTCCTTCCTGTTTGCTGCCTCCCCTTAAGCCGGTGTCTTAGGCAGCTCAAGCTGCTATAAAAAAAGGATCATGGCTGGGTGGCTCAAACGCAGACTTTTATGTCTCAGTTCTGGATGCAGGAAGTCTGAGGTCAGGTTGCAGGCACGGTCAGGTTCTGGTGAGGACGCTCTTCCTGGCTCGCAGCCAGCCGCCTCTCACGCGGCCTTCCTCGGGGCACGCGGACGGAAAGATCTCGCTCCCTTCCTTGTCTTATAAGGCAACAAATCCTATCAGATCAGGGCCTCATTCTCATGACTTCATTGACCCTTAAGTATCTTCTAAATGCCCAGTCTTCAAATATAATCACATTGGGCATTAGGACTTCCATATGTGAATTTGAGGGTGGGGGGAACGCCAGAAAACTGTACTTGAACAATTTAAAAAATGTGGAAAAAAATTTTTTAAAGATTTTATTTATTTATTTCTAGAGAGGGAAGGGAGGGAAAAAGAGAGAGAGAAACATCAATGTGCGGTTGCTGGGGGCCATGGCCTGCAACCCAGGCATGTGCTCTGACTGGGAATCGAACCTGCGATGCTTTGGTTCACAGCCCCAGCTCAATCCACTGGGCTACGCCAGCCAGGGTGAAAAAAAATTTTAATAAAGAATAAATACATAAAAATAGGTGAATTGGGGGAAATACAAACATTCATGCCACATCACCGGGATCAAATCTGGTTTTTTTTTCCCCTGCCCCAAAATCTTGAGGGATTTTCAAGAACTCCGAAAGTGTCTGCCTTTCCAAAGAAAGCCACTGTGGAACCCCAAGGCATGACTCTCCGAGGAGGGGATTCCAAGCTGCAGCGGGAAAGGGGGAGCTCTGTGGCGGAGCCGGCCCACCCCTGCCCCTTCAGGACCCGAGTTCCGGCCTCCACGCGCCCGTGCAGATCCAGCCCTGGGGTGACTGCCTCCTGCCCTCCAGCTGCTGGGTCCTCCTGCCCTCCCGCTCAACACCAGGCGGGAGGTGGGACACGGGGTCTAGGCTGAGCGTGGCCTTGGCAGCGAGTTTGTCCCTCTGTCTGGGCCTCCGTCGTCCACCCTACGGTACCGTGTATCCCCGAGAGCTGGCTGCCCATCAGAAACACCAAGAAGCTTGTTAAGAATTCCGATTCCCAGGCCCCGCCCTCAAACAGCCTGACTCAGTAGGTGCACGATTGGCCCTGGAATCTGTATTTTCACAAAGCGCCCTCTTCACTACCAGGTGATTGCAGCATAGCTAGGTCCTTCGGAGTCCCCCAGGCCAGACAACCTAGGAGGAGCCTTGCAGTTTTCAGGGGTCTCCTCCTGAGCCTCCTTGCCCCACCTGCCCCAGGGACCCCCCTAACCCGCTCCCCTCTCTCCCTACAGTGCCGCCCCCGCCGGGGCCCAGACCTTCAGCCTGAAGCACTCGGAGCTCGTGCAGGTGGAGGTGGTGTGCGACGGGCAGGCCGAGGAGGTGGTCACCAACGGCAAACAACGCTGGCCTCTCTCGCCCAGCACCACGCTTCGGCTGACCATGAGCGAGGCAAGCACCGAGGCCAGCAGCGACAAGGTACCACGGCTGGGGACGCCCCCCCGCCCCGCGGGCCCTGCCGGAACCCAGGCAGGCTGGGCCAGAGCAGTCCCACGGAAACAGAGTCAAGCCACATGTATCATTTTCAGTTTTCTAGTAGCCACATTAAAAGAGAGAGAGAAAAAAGAAGCAGATGGACTTAATTTTAATATCTTTTACTTAGCTACACATATCAAAATATCACATAGACATGGTGTCAACATAAAAACTACTAATGAGACAGCTTACACTCTTTCGTTACACCGAGTCTAAATCTGGTGTGCGTTTCACACTCACGGCACACCTCAGTTCGGACGCGCCACATTTCAGGGGTCGACAGCCACCTGTGGCTGGTGGCTACTGTGCAAGACGACTCCGTGTTAGACCGAGGAATGATGGCTGCGTGGAAGGTTAAATCTCGGGCTGCTGAATGAGGGAATATTAGAATCTCTGGAAGTTACAGCTACCGGTGCCCTTGTTTTTGTCATATACAAAACGGGATGCTGGGTACCCGTGCAGCAAAGGGATTTGCCCAGGTGGTAAAGGCAAGGCCAGACTCTCCTCACTGGGTTCTCTAACTGTGAACCTCAGATGCCCCACAGCAGTGATGGGCTTTATCCAAAAGTAACAACCTCAGCCCTGCTCTGGCTGCTTGGTGGGAGCTAGACTATGGCCGGCCAGTATGGGGCCCGGTGGCAGAGTACCCCAGGGGTACAAGCAGGCAGTCGGCATCCTGGATGCACTCTGCGAGGATGGGAGTCCCCTGTCTAGTCTGATCATCTGGGTGAAGTGGCCCAGCAACCCAGGAGTGCTTCCTGGAGGAGAGGGTTCAGCTACCAGGAGAAAGCTGGCCTGACAGGCTGTGAGGTGAAAGACAGGACAGGTCATCACCCATCACAGATCTTCCTGCCTGTGATAAGTGACCTCTGCTCTTCTTTCCCTCCCTACCAAGGTCACGGTCAACTACTATGAAGAGGAGGGGAACGCCCCCATCAACCAGGCTGGGCTCTTCCTGACAGCCATTGGTGAGTGGACAAGGCCATAGGCTGGGTGCCTTTGTCCCCCAGGGCCTGGCCTCGCCACGTTTCTCAGTGGCACTTGGACTGTTTTCAATGCTGCGGGCCTGGCACTCACAGCGTCCTCTGAACAATGCAGGACCACGGAGGGATGCCGCAGGTGCAGGTGCCCGGGCCCTTCTCGACGACGGTGGGGGATGTCGTACAGGGGGAAGTGTGCCTTGGTCTGCAGGCAACTCACCGCAGTGTCAGGGTCTCCATCCCAGGCTCCGTGGGTAACAGAGGAGAAGGGGCAAAGTCTGCCCCTCCCCCACCTGCCCCCTGCAGCCAGGAGAAGAGCTCGCCTCTCAGAGTGAGGGGGAAGCCTGTGCTGTGCCGTCCAGCCAGTCCTAGCTACGCCCTGCCGTTCCCTGGACCCTTCTGCTCCCTGGGCCGGGAGACGCACACAGCCTGGGGCCTTAACTCATGCAAGCCCTTCATTTAACTCGTGAGGGTAGTGAGGCCAAGAGAGGTTAAGGAACTCGTTTGTAGTCACACAGCGGAACTCAGGATGATTTCTACCCCCGCCCCAGGCTCTTCCCCTCACACAGCAGTTCCCCGCCCTGGTGGAGCCAGCCTGGCTCAGCAAGGCCCAGAGATGTGGTTTCCTGAACCTTCTGTCATTCAGCTCTTCTGTAGTTAAGGTGTTAATTGTATATGTGGTTTTCTTTAATGTTTAATCGTAGAATGTGGTTATATTTCAGAGGATGGTTAGTCCATCCAGCCTTAGTTTAACATTGACAGTTGCCATGTGGTTGGGGGAGGGAACTACCCGTTACTGAGTGTTGACTACATGCTGAGTGCTTTAAAAATGATACTGATATCTCCCCTTTACTGAACACCTACTCAGGGATCAGGGTTGTGCTGGGTGCTCTGAGAGTGTCTTCCTGTCGGATCTCAATCTGTTCTTGCCACAGCTCCAAGGATAGACACTACTGCTGTCCCCATTTTACAGATGAGAAAACTGAGGCTCAGGCAAAGTAAAACAGCCCTGACTGGTGTGGCTCAGTTAGTTGGGCATCATCCCCATATCCCAAAATGTAACAGGTTCAATTCCCGGTCAGGGCACATGCATAGGTTGCTGGTTTGATCCCTGTTCAGGAGACAGCCAATCGATGTTTTTTTATTCCCTCTCTCTCTCTGCCCCCCTCCCCCTCTCTCTAAAATCAATAATCATGTCCTTGGGTGAGGATAAAAAAAAAAGTAAAAGAAAACCTTGCCAGAGGCCACACACCTGGAAAATGGTTTGTGAGACACCAAGTCATTCCAGTCCTCTCATATCCTCGGGGGTCTTGGAAATCCCCTCCCCCCAAAACCCGGCTAGTTCCAAGCCAGCCCCTCCTTCTCCAGCCCTGTGCTTGCAGCGGCCAAAATGGACTCAACAGCAACGCTCTTCCGCTTCTCAGCTTATTCCCAAAGGGCTTGGTGGCTGGTGCCCCTGCTCCTCCTTCTACAGGAGGGGGTGCCCAGCCCGGGGCGGGGTCCCCAGGACAACCTGGGGGGCCTTCAGAGAGGAAACCAGAGCCTCCCGAGCTGCAGCCAAGGGCTGGCATGGGCTGGACCTCACGTGCACACCCAGCCCCCAGGTCATCTCGGGTGACGACTGTCCCTGAGGAAACCTGATCCCACAGAGACGGGACACCTGAAGACTTGAGCAGGAAGGGCAGCGGCCAGAGGCCCGGGATCACCGAGGGTGATCGCCGAGGGCCGGCTGTACCCCGGGAACAGGAATTCCACAGAAGCCAGCCAGACTTAGGGTAGATGGCAAATCCCGCACTGTGAGGTGGCGAGACCAGACGCCCCCCCACACCCCGAGAAGACAGCAAAGCTGGTGCCGAGTCCCCAGAAGAGACCAAACATGCCGTGGGGAACGGCCAGGCTCCGCCCTCTGAGGCTCAGCCGTTGTGCGTTCCCTGGACACTCACTTAGTGAACTGCTACCCATTCCAGATATTTAGGTCCCATGGACCAGTAAAATGTCCCGCCCCCACCAAAAAATAATAATAATAAAATTAACATCTTTAATGCTTGGCCCCAAAACAGACATCAATAATTTATCATCAATTATCACCATCTGTCAACATTCACGTACCCACAAAGTAGGCGGGGCATAATCTCAGAGTAAAAGACCGTCTTCACGTTGCGGAGATAGAGCTTTCTGGAAATCTCACCTCACCGAACTCTCGATTCCTGTCCCACCGGGGTCCCAGGTGGAAATCTGATTACGTTGGGGGCCTGTCTGACTTTTCCGGGTCTTGCCTTTTCTCACGCATCTGCCCCAGGAGCACTTGAGGCCTACATCCCTAAAACCCCTCCTGGCAGCGCCTCGGAGGCAGGGACACCCCAACATCCCAAGATGTGGGGGCTGTGCCCTGAGGACAGCTCTGTGAGTCTGTCTCACCCAGCTCTGCCCTGAGCCCGCACAGAGCAGAAAGAACCCTGGCTTCAGAGTAGACACAACCAAGTGTAAGTACTGGCTCTGCCCCTGCAGCCACATTGTGACCATCACCCCCCTGCTCCTCAGTCTCCTCATCTGCAAAGTGGGTTCACAGTGCACGGTACTTGCAAGGATTCGGCGGCACGCGGTGTGCAGAGAGCCTGGCTTGCAGGAGGTGCTGGGGCAACACTCTCTCTTCTCCCCTCCTGGGGGCTGTCTCCTCTCTCCGCCCGGGTGGAGTGGAAGAACTCTACTGCCCTCAGGCTTCTTCTTGGTGTTTGGGAACAAACCCGTGGTGCCCTTGGCCAAATCAGGTTCTAGGTCTGGGTTCTCAGTTCTGCCAAGGACTTGCTGTTTGGCCTTGACCAGTAGCCCACCCCCTCTAGACCGCACATTTTCGCAGCTATAAATGAGGGGTTTGAGCTCATTGGCCCCCGAGAGCTTTCAGGACTCCAATTAGGGCTGACTTGCAGAATTCTCCTGTTAAGGGAGAAAGTGGGGATGGGGAGGAGGGAGGCCCAGAGTCCCAGCCTCTTCACTGCAGACCTGGCGACGGGAGCAGTGCACCCACCCAAGCCTTGAGAAGTTTCAGCCTCAACCTGGGGACCTCGCCCCTTGTGGCCCCTCCCCAGCACCTGGGGTGGCTGTGGGGGACAGAGACCTTCTCCCCCACCACGCCCCAGGCCGCCCAGTGAGTCAAGAAGGCCAGGTACAACGTGGTCACTGTCCACGGGGGCTGGCGGCCCACCAAAATGCTTGAGGCTCCGTGTCCAAAGCTGAGGCCTCGGCGTCTGGGTTCTCACTCAGGGCGGGCTGCCTTGAACCCAAGTTGACATTTCCCGTTAATCTGCCCCACACCCCAGGCGCCACCCGACACCTTGGGGCTATTCCCAGGAGCTGAGGTAGGACTCAGAGCCTCTGGGACATGTAGAGCCCTGTGGCCCCGAAACACGTGTCCCCTCCTTCCTTTCCAAGATGACACAGACATCCCAGCAGGGCGGAGCTCTGGCCCGGTCACACCAGCCCTCCTGTCCAACCCAGGAAGGAGCATCCCATTAGAACCCAGTTAAACTGGACGTTGGGAGAAACTTTGAAGGGGAGCAGTCCTCGAGGGATGGCTCATAGCTTGGGGCAGGGGGGACCCCTGCTGGGGAAGGGGGATCCCGAGGGAGGGAGGAGGGGAGGGAGGGCCATTTGCAGTTGACTTTGGAGACAGCTCATGAGTCAGAAGACAGAAAATGTGCAGCCCTGGGGGAGGTTGGAAGGTAGGTGACAGAGGCGCCCAATTACGTAATGCCCGAGTTGCGTAGCAGGAAGTCAGTGAAACCTACCCACGTTTCCTAAGTCAAGGAAGAGCAATAAATGTATCCTTTAGTGTTCTGGAGGTTGCTTTCAGGCAGGTAAGGGGACAGGCCTAACAGGGAACTTAGTACCAGACAGTTCCTTTAGGACTGTCTGGTACTCAGCGACTTCTTGTGCACGATGTGCAAGCGTTTATAAAAGGTTTAAATGTAACAAATCGTAATGAAGGAAAGCCCAGTCAAGTGCTTATAATTGATCTCAGGGACACACCACAGGAGCCACAAAGCCGTGCCAGCTTGCAGCCCGGAGACAAAGGCCACGGGGCTGCTGCGGGTGGGGGCCAGGGGGTCTGTGGCCATTTCCTCAGGGGATGACGTGTAGGGGAGCAAGTCTTAGGTTTCTGAAGGTGAGCTTGGCTTCTGGACGCAGCAGCCCAGGGCAGAGGGCAGCCTGAGTCAGCGGAGGGAACGGCCGGGCAGGGGGGGCAGGGGTCTGGAGTGGGGACCCTGTGGGTTGTTGCCTGGCTTCGCACTGTCTGAGGACTTCCTGCTCATTCCCCTGAGGGGTGCCTCGGTTTCCTCATCTGCATGGAGGGGGCGGCTGGGCGGGGGGAGAGCACCCCCCTTCTGGCGTGACAGGAGGGCATGCGCAGGACGTGCCTGCCGCTGGCAGCGTAAACTCTACACACAGGGGACATGATTGTCCTAAAAAGCGAAGGCGGCAGCTCCTTAAGGAGGCTGGGTCCGTGGCTGGTTCCCAGGGAGGAGCTTCCGTAGGGAGTGTCCAAAGGAAAGGTCGTGAAGGTCTGGGAGCCAAAACCAACACGGTTCTGCCATCGGAGCCTCCTGCCTCTTGAGTGGTGGCTGGTGGTTCCCCCTCTCCCGCTTTCTCCCCGAAGACCTTAGTGGGCTGCAGCCTCCCAGATGCCCAGCCCCATTTTCTGACAGGGGACGTCTCTGAGACTGGGTTTGCCCACCTCAAAGAACGGGAACAGTACTATTTATCTCACAGGACTGGGGATTCCTCGAGAGCAGGCTGTGCACCCCAATACCCCACCACTAGGTCTCTGTCCCCGGTACGGTGTGTGCGACACAGCAGATGTTCACCAGTGACTGGCTGAGTGGGCGGGGCCAACGGGAGGAGTGACTATCATTACGCCTCGCAGTATCTGACAGCGGGGCTGCAGAGGGGGGACGCGGGGGTGCTGCCTCTCCCAAGAGCCAGGTGTCCTCAAAGCCTCCCCTCTCCTGCCTCCTTCCGGACCCAGAAAAGCCACGTTCAGGGGTGGGAGGGAATCGGACTGTGCACAAAGGGAGGACTTGAACATAATCCCCAGACTGAGGGTGAGCGGCCTGAGGGGGGGTGACATCAGCACGCTCCCTGAGCCAGGATCCTCTTCCCCACCCAACCCCGGGAGAGGGCATGCCTGCCAAAGGGACTTACCAGGAATCCATTCATTCCCACCCAACTCCCTTCTCAGTCCAAGTCATGCCCAGCGTGTGGCTGAGCCACCGGCAGTTCCCGGGCCTGGACCCGGCTCCTCTCCGTCTGCGTGATGCGCTCCCATCACCTCCCAACGACTCCGCTGCCCCGCCCTGTCAGTCTCTAATGCAAGGGGTCAGGTCACCTCCCAGGGACATGTAGCAATATCTGAAGACATCTTGGTTGTCACAGCTGGGGGATGTCACTGGCATCCAGGAGGTACCACTAAACACCGTACGAGGATGCCCAGGGCGACCCCCTCCACACAGAAATGTCCGGTACAAGCCTCCTGTAGTGCCCGCTGTTGCAACCGGTGCATCTCCTCAAACGGGAAAGGGCCCCATTGTGCAGGCAGAGAAACTGGGGCTCAGAGATGCCGTCTAACCTGCCCAAAGTCACACAGCATGTCAGTAGAGAACCAGGGTTTGAACCCAGCACTGCCTGATGCTGAGTCTTGGGCTCATTTTGCCGCACAGTTTCCATGAAGCCTGTTCCCACGGCGGGCCTAGTTCAGCGAGGACACCAAAGGTCCCTTCCCCAGGAGGAAGGGTAAACAAGGACCCCGCCCTGCAGCCTCTCTCTCACAGCCTGGCCTCCCAGGTACCCTCAGGTCCAGAAGGGTTGGAGACCCAGTTTCCCGCCCAAAGTAAAGCCTCAGTCCTTGGCGGTGGGACGCGGGCCACCGACAATTCTGGAAGACGCACGTGCTCAGACTCACGGGTGCGCAGGTGCCCCGGACAGACGGGCTGGGAAGGCAGTTCGGGAGCCCTCCGGCAGCTTTCACAGTAAAACCTTTGAATCAGACCAGCTGCAGTGTGTGTCCCAGGTCGCTCAGGACACCTACGTGGCCCTGGGCCTCTCTGACCCGAGGCTCCCAGGTCTGCACAGTGAGAGGCTTATCCCACTCGCCACCCGGGACTGCCCGAGGAACCAGGAAGCGGTGCCTGATCGGGGCCTAACTGGCAGCACCTCTCAAAGCCCTAGCAGCAAAGTCGGCAGCGTCCCCGAGTTCTCCACCAGGAGGTGGGGTATTGAGATAAGGGAGCTGGATAAGAGGACCTCCTCCAGGCCCTCTCCTTCTGGGGACCCAGCAAGGGGCGAGCCCCACCCTGCTCCCACAGGTCTTCCTCCTGCCCCTGCCCCACCCTGTCTGGCAGGCTCCGCAGCTCACCCGTGTGTCTGTCCCCAGAGATCTCCCTGGATGTGGACGCAGACCGGGACGGCGTGGTGGAGAAGAACAACCCAAAGAAGGTACCCAGCTACCGGGGCAGAGAAACAGGCGGGGGGGGGGGGGGGCATCGAGAACAGAGCCCCAGGCTGGACCCGGGAAGCAGCCATGGCCCTCCCCGCAAACAGAGGTGACTCTCAGACTCAGAGGGGGAGATGGGGACGCGAGACAGGCTCCCAGGCCCACAGCGCGAAGTGACAGACCCGCAGAGGAGACAGACCCCCTACGGGAACAACCTCAGAACAGGTTCCCAAGTCTCAGCCCCACCCCTCAGGATGGGGGCCCCCCAGTTCATAGAGTTGTTGGAAAAACTAATGTCCTGCCGCAGAGGAAGTGCTGCCAAGGTATTTGCTCTTATTATTTTGCCTTTTTAAAAAAACGTTTAAATCTGAGTGGGAGAGACCACCAAGGGGCAGAGGCTGCATTCAGCAGCCGCAGTTCAAGGCGCGTGAGCTTGAGTGGTGCGTGCACAGCCCCTCTCCTGCTACTTATTCATTCACCCATTCGTCATTCATTCATTCACTCATTCATTCATTCACTCATTCATTCCTCCTCTTCTGTCCTGCATTCCCCATTCCTATTCTGCTCCCCCACAAAGGACCGTGCTAATGGGTTTCATGTGTCTCTTTCGGTTCTTCTGGTTCTTGCAACGCCTGTGGTCCGGCTGGTATGCAGGTATTTTTAACCCGTGCAGAGAGCACCGTGTTCCCCATCTCATTCCGTTCTGTGCTTTTTGCCTCCAACCCAGTGTTCAAGCTCCTCTGGCTTTGCTCTGTTACGTCCTCTAACTATTTCCCCGTAACAATCTAAAGCCTGGTTTAAGTTACACATGCGTGGATGCTTTTACAAGTTAAATAAATACGCCAGTGAGGAGCCTGGGTACTTACTAGCCGCTGGCCGCAGACTCCCTGCCTGTTGCTAAGGGGGCCTCAGGGAGCCCTTTAGGGAACCCTTTCTCCCAGGCTCCTCAGTAGGTCCCGGCCCTGGCCCTGCCCCTGCCTCCCCGAGGCGGCTGAGTCAGCCTCACACATCCATTCTCTGTGCCGATGGCCCCAAGATGTGACAACAGATTGCACACAGACCTCTGAGGCATCAGCCCCGCCCAGGGAGCTCCGCAGCCTTGGTGAAGTCACCCGGTCCCTAAGGGCCTGAACTCACCCAGGCCATCTCCATGTGAGCCAGTGACACTGTGCACCGTATTCACACCATCTCATAGATATTTGTTGAGCATCTTTCATACTCCAGGACTGGGTCCGGCTGTGGGGACACAGCTCCTGCCCTCCGGGGGCCCACATTAAACAAAGAATCACAGTTACGGCCTTTTCATCACGGTCATCCTAAATCCGCTCCAGAAAGAACATGTTCCGTGTCATGAGTGTGGACCCAGGGAGGCCGCTCTGCTCGGGAGGGTCACAAAGTGGTTCGGGGCAAATGGGACAGTTTTGCTGTGACCGGAAGGAGGAGTGGTGTCGGCCAGGTGAAGGGAGACAGGACAGCGTGCCAGACGGAGGGGCTGGTGCAGGCGAAGGCCTGAGGGCTCGGCACCCTGGGGAGCAGAAAGGCAGCGGGTGTGGGAGGAGCTAGAAGGAAGGGGAGGGGTCAGCTGGAGAGGGGGGCAGGTCTCCCCGGTCAGCAGGGAGCCCCGACCAACCGGGATGAAAGTGGGAAAGCAACCTGACCTGGTGGGGTTCATTCTAACCACTCTGGCTGCAGGGCAGCCAGTGGGTCGCCTTGTGGGTCCCGTTTGGAGCACTTGGAGGGTGTCTGGGAACAGCTGCGTGTCTGTCCATCCAGGTGTCTTCCCCTGAACCTCTCTGGGGACCACGGAGCCTGCCGCAGAATGTCTGTCTGCTCCTTTCTCCGGCAGCCCTCCCATCTCCTGTCTCCGCCCCTCCCCCCGTCACAAGCACACCAGACACGAGGCTCAGGAGTGCCTCACCCAGTCTCTGTGTCTCTCTCTGCCACCATCTGTCCCCCTCCTGAACTTGCCTTTGTTGCTTACACTGACCACCTCTGGGCCTCAGACGTGGGATTCACGATCTCCAGGTCACAGCTGCCCCGGTGGGCGGTGGCTGTTCTTTACTCTCCTCCTGGGGCTGTCTCTCTGGTGTCCGGTGAGGTCTGGGGCCGGGAACATCCGCCAGAACGTAGAGAAGAGGGGACTGACCCCTGTCCCTGCCAACGCAGGCATCCTGGACCTGGGGCCCCGAGGGCCAGGGGGCCATCCTGCTGGTGAACTGTGACCGCGAAACACCCTGGCTGCCCAAGGAAGACTTCAGGGACGACAAGGTCTACAGCAAAGAAGGTACCAGCAGGGCCCACCCTCGGGGCTGGGGCGGGGAGGGGCAGTGCAATCACTCGCCTAAGTCCCGGGCTGGGCTGAGTGTGCGGCAGGAGTGGCCTTCGGTCTCCTGGAGGTGGTGGACTCGCACCTCTACTCTTGCTAAAAAGGAGAAGGCGAGACTCCTCATACAGTTCAACTGGAACCACGCTTTAAAAGGAGATGCATATAATCAGGGGGTCCAACCTTTGGGCGTCTCTGGACCACCCTGGAAGAAGAAGAGTTGTCTTGGGCCACACATTAAATACATGGTGGCACACAAAAATCTCCTAGTGTTTTAAGTAAATTTATGATTTTGTGTTAGGCCATGTTCATAGCCATCCTGGGCCCATGAGCCATGGGATGGATACCCCTGAAAAGAAAAAAGACTGGAAGGAAATTCCCAAAAGGCTATTGGTGTCTGTTGTACTAAAGATGCCAGCCAGTTTTTATACTTTTTTACCACTTCCATAATACACATGCGTGGGGTTTTCTCTGTCCTGATTGTAAACGTGACATCAGTCCTTTGCAAGCCAGCATTCCAGCCGCGGTCTCTTAATTCTAACCTCCTCCTGCGTCCCCGTCCACCCCCAGACCTCAAGGACATGTCCCAGATGATCCTACGGACCAAAGGCCCGGACCGCCTCCCCGCGGGATACGAGATCGTCCTCTACATTAACATGTCAGACTCGGACAAAGTGGGCGTGTTCTACGTGGACAGTGAGTGACCGCAGCCCAGCCCTCCAGCCATCCCATCCACTCACCACTCACTGAGCTGCCCCTGCAGGGGCCCAGCTCCGCCCTCTGAGGCTCCCCAGGCCCCTCCCCTCAGCAGTCGTGGCCCCTCAGGTGCAGGCACAGGAGAGACCCAGGACTGGCCTCTTAGTAAGCAACTGGGCCTCAGTAATAGTAAGGATTACTACGTTACATCACCGGTCATAGTAATAGTTGTCCTGCAATGCCAGGAAGCCCCACAGAGCAGATCTCTCCTTTCTCAAAGGGGGCAACAGCGACTCCGGTGTTTGTAGGACCCGGAGGCCCATCTTCCCCACAAACCAAGGGAGCGAGGGCTTTGAGGTCCATCTTTTCAGAAGTCACGTCTCCTTCGTGATACCTGAAGCAGGTGCCCCTCGGGGAGGCGGGGGGTTGCCCATCTCAGACTTCCGGGAGCTGAGAACTGCCTCTGACTTTGAAAGAGCCCCCGACAATGCTGTGGGCACGCTGGGGGAGCTGACCCCCTCGTTGCTCTGGACAGAGACAGGACATCCTGGGTCCCCTCTGTGCAGGGAACACGCTTCCGCTGCGGAGCTGCCCACTCTGACTCATTCTTTCTATCAGCGTGTGCTGAGCCCCCTCAGTGCCGGGGGCTGTTCTCAGCTCGGGGGTCCCCGCAGTGAGCTCTGCAATCACACCCTGCCCCGGGGGAGGTGACGGCCAAGTGAGGGAGATGTAGTAAGTAGCGCAATTGGAGAAAATGACACGGACCACGTAACAGAGGGTAGCACAGGCCGGGGTAGGTGCTGCTGGCCTGAGCAGGTGACATCTGAGCTGAGACCCACACCAGCGACGAGAAGCAGCCACGTACTTATGCGCTGACGGAAGGGGGTCCCGAGCACAGGGAACAGCACGGACCAAGCACAGGGGAGGGAACCAGCTTGGAGGAGCAGAAAGAAGACCAGAATGAGGGGACGTGTGGAGTCAAGGGCAGCGAATAGGGCAGCAGCCAGGGCTTGCAGAGAAGGCCTAGCTTTGGTTCCGAGGGCAGTGGAAAACCATTAGAGGGCTTTAAGCAAGAGACTGTCAAGATCTGATGGATGTGTTCGAATGCTCTCTAAGCAAAATCGTTAGCTTTGCAGTCTGCCCTGGGTGCAGTGCGGGGCTTCCCCTGCGTGCCCCCGCTGTCTGGGGACCCGAGATCTCTGGCCCACCTCTGGAGGCCCACTCCAGCCGGGACAGTCGGTCATGGGGACCCTGGACCCTCATCTCAGGGAGTGGTTTTGTCAGGACAGCAATGGACAGCTGCCACCGGAAGCCGCTCCTCCTTCAGATCCACCCTGGGCCCCGGCAGTGACCTCACCCAGGTCGGAATGTCCCCAGAGTCAGGCCGGCTCCATGCCCCAGGGGGCTGGGGATGTTGATATTTACCCCGTCCAGACCAGGGTTGCCCGGGACACAGGGCCGCCTGCGGGGACTGGAGCCGTCCAGGCAGGACCTTCACCTGGGCTTGCCGACCATGGCATTGAATTGTGATGAGTGGCCCTTTGCTAACAGTGATGCCTGGATATTACCCAAAGGGTTGTTTTTATTGGTGGGAGCGGACTGAGGTCTGGCCCCATAATCACATCCCTCCTTCCTCACTTGCCATCCGAGATGGGTCCCGAGCAGACGGGAGAAAGGGGGATCGCCAGTGCAGGCACTTTGGACGCCAGTCCCCAGTCTGTTATCTGGGCCACTGTCCCACAGGGAGGTGGCCTTCCTGATGCTGCGGTGGCCCCAGAGTAGTCGGTTTCCCACCGCGTGCTGAGCCCTGGGCGAACGCTCGCTGTCACGGTAAGAACGGGAGGAAAACCGCCATCCGTGACAGTGTCCTTTTCTTCCTTTTCTTCTGTGCAAACACTTTGGGGTTTTGTCAAAATCCAAGGATTCCCACCTGAGAATGCCTTGTGTTGCAGGACTGTCACGTGTCACCTGTATGACCCAAGGGCGGAGGGCTGGGCTGGAGGCCGAGGGACTCCGAGAGGGAGCCCCGAAGCCAGGAGATTCAAACCCCAGATCTAAGCAAGTCTCACCAGGCCACGCGTGTGTCCCTCAGATGGGATGTGACCTGGGGGCAGCAAGAGGCCTGACTGTCCTGCTGGTGACGGGAGTTAACCAGGAACGTGGGTCAGGCATGCAGTGCCGCAGCCGGTCTGTGCCGCGCTCTCCCCGGATGGCACTTGTTGCTTTCATTGGGACTGTTATTATGACTATTAACTGTAATCATTAGACGTCTCCAGTGCTGGTTGGAAGGCCCAGGTGTCTGTGCTCCAGCCTTCGCTTCCACCCCAGGACCTGGAATTGAGGTCTGACCGCTTCCTGCAAGGATGCAGGGACCAGCCTGTCCGCTAGCCCAGGGCCTTCCTGGGTTTGGCCCTGAAAACCCCTCAACCCAGGAATCCGCTCAGTCCCAGGCAAACCGGGACAGCTGATCACACTACCTGAAGGTGGAATGTCTCCAAAGTGACCAGAAGGGTTGTGCCCAAGCATTCCACTCGCCCAGTGGGACCAATGCCTGGGGCTAAGGGGAGGGCAGGGTGGCCAGCGGGCCCAGCAAGAGGCATGTGGGTCGCTTAATAAAGGGGCTTTGTTGGTCCCTGCAGGGAGAGCCAGCCACGTGCAGTCAGGCCTACACCCAGCCGGAGACAGGGGACAGGGCCAGGAGACTCCTCTGGACAGTGGCTGGATTGTTCCCACCGAGGAATCTATCTGCCTGGAGCTGGCTCGGGCCGCCAGAAAGAGAGACATAAATGGAAGGCCAGGGGAGGGAGAAAACCGCGTGCAGATAGGCGAGATCACGTCCATCCACCTGAGCGAACTTTCCTGGCCGGGCCCCTCCCCTCCCCAGACCCTGGCGGAGCCCCTCCCCCACCGTCTTTGGCGCTTTCTGCAAAGACAGGTCAGCTGCCAGATGACATCTCTCCCCTGAGCGTCAGTTCAAGTGCAGCCTGGGTGTGTGGGCGTGGAAGAGCCGGAATGCCTGGGGGGGACCTTTTTAAACTGTGCAGATCCTTCTGGGTCCACTCGGTGACTGAGACACGGGCACACGCTGTCGTTTCTCAATGAGAAGGACTTCACCTTCGGGTTGAGCTCCTTGGAACATCTGGTGCCTGAGTATCTAGGCCTCGTTTCCCGGGCCCCTCCAAGGGAAGGCGATGTGAGGTATCTATCACTCCTCTGCCTCCCGTTCACGAGCCGTGTGATGAAAAGGCCGTGAGTTTTGCCGTCGGGGTGTGCTGACTCGTTCACGGGGAACGGCAGCGGGTCCCAGCTGTGTTACCGATGGTCACCCGTGGTTCCCAAGTTCACCGAAGTTACGGGAGCTGTGTCATTTTATCTTGCAGTGACCGTGTGGCACGGGTCTTATTATTCCCCCCATTTAATAGATGAGCAAACTGAGGCTAGGGGAGGATAGGTGAATTCCCTGAGGTTTCCCAGCTTCTAAAGCCAGCGTGGTATTTAACCCGGGCCTCTCTGATTCTGTTAGCCATCACCATGCAGGTGACCGCCCACAGTGAACAGTAACAGGGTGAGGCAAGAGTAGGTTGACAGTTGTGCATATGTGAAACACAGTTTATTCTCGTATTACTTATTAATTATTGTGTTGTTATCCACACGAATAACTGTAAACTTGCTCCATCGTGTATGACCAGGAGCTAGCTGGGCACGCCATCCTAGGTGAGGACCCACGCTAAACCTGGGCCTCAGCGGTCCCTCCGTTCCTTCTGCGAGCTGTAACCAACCACCCCGTTTGTGCCGGGACTGTCCTGGTTACCTGCTCCAGCCCTTGGACGACCGGTCATTAACCATTACCACTGTTGTTGACAGCAGCACTAAGCTGAGCCTGATTCTGCCCTTCCAGCTCTGCGGGGCATAAAGAAACTCCTCTCGGAACTGCGTAGGGTCCTACCTCCGCGCCTTGGGCAGTGCAAGTATCTTTTGTCCTCTCTGCCACCCCGCCTCTGCCACCCCGAAGGACATCTCCAAGGCTGCCCTCCTCTGCTCCAATGCTTCCTGCCCTGCCTTCCCCCACCTCATCCTCCCCACCCCGGGACCCCCAGGGGATCTCTCACCCGTAGCTCTGTTATGACGCTTCCCATCTCTGCTGTACTTACCGCCCGCTGAGCGCGGACACTGCGTCCCTGTCTCTCCCACGGTCCTTGCCCGTGCTGGTCACAGAGTAATGATTCAGTACATGTGCTCTGAGCTGGCCGACAAACCCTCCCCTGGGGGGCCGTGTGGGAGCCGCTGGTCCATCGGTTCAGTGGACATTTATTACGCACGACCATGTGCCAGACCGGCTGGGCCCGTTTCTGCCCCCACAAAGGTGACAGACAGCCTCTCGGAGCCCACAATAAACGCTGAGATCACGCCAATTCAGAAAGGCTGGGAGGCAGAGGGCGGGGGCTGTGGCAGCTCCACGCAGAGCCCCTGGCTTGGTCTCCGAGGGGTCTGGGCCTCATTCTCCGCAGTGACACGTGTCAAGGCCTGAAAGAGGAAGGACAGGGAATGGCACTGTGAGGGCTGGGGACTTCAGAGGCGCAGGAGCACTGAACAAACCTGCCTGTCCTCCCAGCCACGAACATGTGTAGCCAGAGACCCCCGCGTGGGACGTCACGCCAACACGGCTTCTATCACATGGAAGGGAATTCTGATGCAAACGGGCACACTGGTGTTTTATTTATATAACGGGGAGGGGAGCTTGGGCTTTGGAATTGGCCATGACTTTGAGTCCCAGCTCAGCCGCTCACTGGCTATGCAACCTCGACAAACCGCTTCTCTTTTCGGAGACTCGGTTTCCTCCTCTGTAAAACAGGGGCAATAATATCTCTCCTCGGGGTCACTACCGCTCAGTTACCCCCCCCATTGTTCCCCGCACGCCGTTCCTGGGAGAGCCGGCTCCTCTTACAGCTGAGGAAGGCCCATGAGTGGCCTCAGAGCCGCGTGGGTAACACCCGGTGATGCTGGGGCAATGACCAGGCCACGGCCCCTCTGGTGGCATTTTCTGCTTGTGCTTTTCTCTCCTCACCTGGAGGACAAGTCACTCTGCCATCTTGTCCCCCATTGGTGACCCCGCCCCACTGACCTCTTCTCGTGGGCCCAGGGTCTGACATCGGTCCCTCTCCCTCCAGACCCGTTCTTCGGCCAGCGTTACATGCACATCCTGGGCCGGCAGAAGCTCTACCACGTGGTCAAGTACACGGGCGGCTCTGCGGAGCTGCTGTTCTTCGTGGAAGGCCTGCGTTTCCCCGACGAGGGCTTCCCAGGCCTGGTCTCCATCCACGTCAGCCTGCTGGAGTATATGGCCGAGGTGAGGGCTCCAGGCCGCCATCCGTGGGGGGCTGCCCCCGGGCTCCACGTAGGTCTCCTTCTGGGGGGCCACACCCAGGACCCCCCACTATGCTCCTCTCCCCTCAGAGCGCCAGGGGAGAGTCCAGGCTTGGAGATCTAGATGCCCCCCACCCTTCACATTGAGGTGAGGCTGGATCTGTCTTAGATTGATGAGCGTGGGCTCTGGAGTCAGACTGCCCACGTTCAAGGCCATGAGAGCCTGGGCCAATGAATTGACTCCCTGTGCTTTGGTTTCTGACAAAACTCCCACTTCCTGGGGTGGTTATGAGCATTTGAACTTGGAAGAACTCATTCACAAAGCACCCTCGAGTCTGTGGAAAAAGCGAGAGGCTAACAGCACAGGTAGGGAGGGGGCTTTTCCCAGGGGTGCTCCAGCGGGCACCGCAGAGACGCCAAGGCAGGCCTGGGCAGGAAAGGCCAGCACCCCCACAGCCCCGCCTCCGCCCTGCCCGTCAAGGGTAAGGTCCGGTTTTCTTTAACTTTTCAAAGCCACTCCTGCCGAGGGACCCGGGATCATCTCTCATTTACCCTCAGGAGCCAAGCAAGCTTCCTGAGTCTTTCCTGAGAACAGAGAGCAATCTGGACGCAGCGAAATGTCCCCAGTCAACACTAAGACGCTCATACACGGAGAAGGGCGAGGTGCTCAGAGTGAGCACGGGAGCAGGCCGTGGCTGGCCCGGCCCTCACGCGGGCCGACTCCAGGCACAGAACCCCGACAGGGCAAGATCAGAAAGTGGTCCGGAGGGCGCTCAGCTGCCGGGCCACCTGGGTTTAAATCTGGGCTCTGCCACTTGCTAACCGTGTGACCTCGGGCAGCTACATAAGAGTTCTGTGACTCGGAGGCCTGTGTCTCGGTTTCCCCATCTGTGAAACACGGGTTACAGTGCGTCCGCCCCCTGGGGTAAGGCGGAATGCATTGGTTCGGGTAAAAGCACCACAGGGCCTGGCACACAGTACGTGCCCAACGAATGTGCCATTGTTACCGGTTTCGCCCCCTTGGGGAGGCAGCAGTGAAAAGCACCCTGACGAGACTTTTCGATGCCCCGCCCCTTCTCTCCCGCGCCCAGGAGATTCCCCTGACGCCCATCTTCACGGACACCGTGGTCTTCCGGATTGCTCCGTGGATCATGACCCCCAACATCCTGCCTCCCGTGTCCGTGTATGTGTGCTGGTAAGCCGTGGCCGCGGTGCGGAAGGGCTGTGCGGCCGGGTGGCTAACGCCGGGGCTTCGGGGACAGGCAGACCTGCGTTCGGACCCTGGCCCTGCCCCTTCCCTGGGTGTGTGACCTTGGGTGACTCACTCGGCCCCTCCATGCCTCCATTTCTCTGAAACGCTGACATCACAGAGTCACTGGGAGGATTAGAGGAGACAGAGCAGGCAAAACGCTCATCCGAGGGCCTGGCACAGAGTTCGCGCTCTGAAAATAGTAGTTACCATTTCTTTTCTTATTCTTGGCCCATGCTATGGAGTCAGGAGCCTCCTGTGCAGTACTCATCTCATTCAGTCATCAATTTTTTTAGTGAGCATCTATTTTGTGCTAGACAGCCACAGCAAGGTGAGAAGCAGGGGAAAGAAGCGCCTGCAGCTGGATGCTGGCCACACCCAGAGGGCCCTGCGGTCCTGGCCCATCCCCCACCTCCTTGCTAAGAAGAGCTCCTCTTTGAAAATTAGGGAACCAGAGACAAGTCTTTGGGACAGATGGGGGTGAGAGTTCCCCTCCTCATTTTATTTGTTCATGACCTTGGCAAACACCGCACATGTGGGTATGTTCTCCTGGCCCCTGAGTCCGGTGGCCTTTGCAAAAGTAACTGTGGCCTCACCTACCTAGCGCAGCCTAGAGGTGCCAGCTGCTGTCGCCACCTCAGCGGGCTGGCCCTCCCCCATCCTCACCCTTTCTCCCGGCCTTCCCCTCTTCCCTAAACGTCTCAGCATGAAGGACAATTACCTGTTCCTGAAAGAGGTGAAGAGCCTGGTGGAGAAAACCAACTGCGACCTGAAGGTCTGCTTCCAGTACATCAACCGAGGGGACCGCTGGATCCAGGTGAGGAAGCCCAGGCTGGGAAGGACCCGTCCCAGGGCTCAGGCCAGAGCAGTCGGCTTAACGTTAGCACCCCGGCCCCCAGCAGCTCCAGGTGTGGGAGTTCTGCTGTCAGCTCACACCTGCGCGTGTGCTCAGAGGCATAGAGGAACAAGGCAGCTAACTGTAGCCGAAGTAGCAAAAGGCTGTAAAACACCCCAAATGTCCACCCAGCGGGCACGGGGTAAGCCTACATACGATACAACAGCCTTGTGGTGGCGCACTATACAACAGCTAAGAAGAAGCCAACCTATAAATACAGAATAGGCTTCAAGGTACGGTGTTACCTGCAGGCAAATGTACACAGGGTGTTACCGGTTATGTTTTACAAAACGGGGTTGGCATGCACACACACACGTGCTTGGGCCGTGCAGGGGCCGTCTGCGGAAGGATACAGCTGTTGGGCAGAGGCCGGCAGGCTGGCCGGTGACCACGGGCGGTGCTCAGCCCTCCTCCGACGGCTCTCCTTGCTGTCCCCGCAGGACGAAATCGAGTTTGGCTACATCGAGGCCCCCCACAAAGGCTTCCCCGTGGTGCTGGACTCCCCGCGAGACGGAAACCTGAAGGACTTCCCAGTGAAGCAGCTGCTGGTGAGATGCGGAGGGCCGCCTCGGTGTGGGCGGTGGGCACAGGCCTGGGGACCCTTACGGGGCAGACTGCTCAGGGGACCTCGGGCGCCTTTGACGAATGTGCCCAGGGCCTTCGTTTTCCGTGGGGACAGTGACCTCTGAGGTCCTTCCCTGCTCGGTTCGTGGATGCTTTCCCGAAAAATGGAGAGTTTTCTGTTAAACGAGAAATGGGACCTGTGGGAGACAAAGGCAGGGCGGGGGCCATGCCTTCTGCCACTGCGCCATGCCCAACGCGCAGGAAAACGAGTTTCAAAGAGGAAAATTACAGTTAAGCAATTGTCAAAAACCATGGTTCCAACTTCAGAGTTCGTGAAAGCTGGGGTTTTCGGTGCCTGTGGTTTTTTAACACAACCGGCCCCCCCCCCTCCAATTCCAGAGGCCATTTCCACTCCCCATAGAGGCGACCCCTTGCCAGGCTCACACCTGCTTCTTCGCTCACCTAGCCGCCTCATCACGCAGAGGGGGTGAAGCCCTTGGTGTGTTGGTGTGAGCACAAAGCTCTGGAATGGCAGGCGGACCCGGCCTTGAGTCGAGGTCCTGACCTTAGCTAGAGCAGCATTGTGACCTTGGGCAAGCAGCTCTGCCTCCCGAAGCCTCCACTTGCTCCTCTGTGAAGTGGGGACAGAAACGGTGCCCCTCTCACAGGATCGGCGTGAAGACTGGGGGCATCCTCTAGGGCGTCCGTGCTGCACCCGACATGATGCCCGCCACTGGCTGTTGTTCCAGTTGTCCTTCCACAGCCCTGCCACCGTCCTCGGTGGGGACAGTTGCTTCCTCCGACACTGCAGAGTCAAACTGGCTCGCCGCGGGCAGAAGGATCGAGGCCTCCCAGGCCCTGCGCTCACTCTCCCCGGGTCACCGCCTGCCTCCAGTGTCCCAGGCTGGCCTGCTCCCGAAGCCCTGGGCCGCACCATTCCTGGGGCTGTGCCAAGCCCAGCTTTGTGCCGCGTGCCTGCCTGCCTGCCTGCGTGTGCAAGGCCGTGAAGCCCCAGCTGCCCCGGCCCCCGGCAGATCACACCCTGCCATCTGGGGCTCCCAGGAGAGAATGTGCTAAGCCGTGGCCATCCACCCCACCTGCCACAGCTGTCCCTGGAGACTCTCGCTCGGCTGGGCCAGGATGAGCCACATACCTCTCTACTCCACATTTTTTTTACAGGATTTCTTGTCAGACAAGCTTAGTCCCAGCCCCAGTGCAGATTCCCAAGCAAGATCTCTACTTTTTTTTTTTTTCACCAAAAAAAATCATAAAAGGAACCTTAAAATCCAAGGGGGTCACCAAGGTTATCTCAACGGGGTTATGCCGGCTGCAGTCTGTTGGAGCTCTGTGCTAAGAAGGGTTCTGAGGCTCCATCTGGGCTCCGTGACAAGAATGGCTGCTTGGGAAGAGGTTGAAATGTCACAGAGTTTACGCATCTGCCCTTCCTGCATGTATCGGTCAGCTTTCACCAGGGAAGGCTGCGGTGACAAACAGCCCCCACATCTCAATGCCTGGCAACAACGAAGGACTGTTTCTGGCTTGCACTCGTGTTGGCCGCCGGGTGGTTGTCTGCAGCTCTGCTTCCTCATTCCTTCCTCCTTCCAGAGCCCAGGTGGCGGGAGCAGCCCCAGCCTGGGAAATGCCATTCTCCTGGCGCAAGGAGAGGACAGAGAGAGTTGGCAGGCATACACAGGGAAACTTGGGGCTTCTGCTCTAAACTGGCATGTATCACTTCTGCTCACATCTCATTGGCCAAAGCGAGTCACATGATCAAGTCTGATGCTGAGCAGGGAAGTATATTCCTTCTACAGGGAGATGCCAGAAGTCACACAGCAATAGCTCAGAATGCTGAATCCTCTTACGTAGAAGGGGGAAGTGAGTTCCTGGGACCAATAATACAAACTCCATCCTTGCCTCAGGTTGTCTAACCCGACGCCTCTCCAGCAGATGGGGGCACTGAGGGTCAGAGTAATGAGGAGACAAGCAGGGGCATCCACAGCACAAGAGGAGGACGAGTCCTGAAGTCAGTGATGTGTCCTTGTGTTCGGGGAACGGGGGCACGTGCAGAAGCTCAGATGCACGCATCTTAGATGCACGCACACACACACTTACATGCCACGTGCATCCCCAGCTCACACAACGTGCTAGAAACTCAGCCTCCCTCTCCCAGATCTCGCTCTTTGGTGGGACTGAGAACACCACGGATGACCTCCCCCTGCCCCCGGGAGGCTAAGTGCCCACAGTGCCAGACCAAAGGTGGTCAGAGTGGTCATCAGAAGGTGGCTACGGTGGGGCGAAGGACTCCTGGCTGCAGGACACTAATGATGGGTGTGTGCTCCCTACCTAGGGCCCAGATTTCGGCTACGTGAGCCGGGAACCCCTCTTTGAGCCTGTCACCAGCCTTGATTCCTTTGGGAATCTGGAAGTCAGTCCCCCAGTGACCGTGAATGGCAAGACATACCCATTGGGCCGGATCCTCATCGGGAGCAGCTTTCCACTGTAAGAGAAGCCAGGGTAGGGGCTGGGGGCGGCCAGACGGGAGGTTTGTGGGTCTAATCTTTAGGAGTGGCCCAGGTTGCTAACACATGGAGGGAGTGCGTGGCTGGGAACATTAACCCCTCCCATGACTCTCTGATAGGATACAGACATTCATGGAAAGAAAACCAAGTTAGCCTGTACATCTTAGCATAAATGAGCATCAAATATAAAACTAAATAAATACCTCTCTTCTCCACATGGGAGGGTATCTAATGAGATTCTAGACCAGGTAAGGAAGGGATGAAGGAGTCCAGAGAAGGAAAACTGAAAGAGGATGAGGATGAGTGGGAGCATACCAGCAAACCCTTTAGGGTGCCCACACACAAAAGTCAAGAGGAGACACGGCCCTGCCCCAAAGCGTGAGTCCCTGGCTGCATGGACTGCCCACAATGCCCTCATTCCACCCCCAGAGGACCCACCAATCAATAAAAAGGCAGAGCCTTCCTTGGTCAGGGCAATAATGGGGAGATTGGAGACCTCAGGGAGTCTAGCAGTCAGGAAGGGCTTCCTGGAGGAGGTGCCAGTTGATTAAAAATGAATTCAATGGAAGTTAATGTAGCAAAGAGACACAAGGGCTAGGGCAGATTTAGGAGCCATGCCTGTGCCCTAGCCCCCCCCACTCCAGCAGTTTAAGCAGGACCCCTGAGCACAGAAGCTGCCCTCCTCACACCTGCTGACACCATCAGGGACTAAGCGGTGCTCCAGGCCCTTTGCACAGGCCCTAGCTGCAGCCAATGCTTCCTTCTTCCCCCTTCCTGCCTGCGCCAGGGTCTCTCAGCCCTGCAGCTCAGCCTCCTTCCCATGACTCCTAGGCTGACGCCACCCTGGCTTCAGGCTGGGTTCCAGAGGCCGCAAGCCTGTGGTGAGACAGACGCAGGCAGAGCTCTGAAAAGCCGCCTCCTCCCCAACCCCGCCCCAGGTCCGGAGGTCGCAGGATGACCAAGGTGGTGCGGGACTTCCTGCAGGCCCAGCAGGTGCAGGCACCCATAGAGCTCTACTCGGACTGGCTGACCGTGGGCCACGTGGACGAGTTCATGACCTTCATCCCCATCCCGGGCACAAAGGTGAGCCGGCTCCTGAGGCTGGAGCGAACAGGGTAGTGGAGAAGCCCTGCCCGCCGTGTCAGCAGAAGGTGGGGTGCAGAGGACGTGGGAGAAGGAAGGAGGCTGAAGCTAGTTTGTATGTTGTCGCTGCAGCAGGTCAACATTTAACCCAATATTCCCAGAATATTACTAGCATTTCAACATGCAACCAATGTAAAAGTTATCCATGACAGATTTTGCATTCTCCTTTTTTTTTTTTTGGTAAATCTTTAAAATCTGGTGTGTCTTTTCCTCTTAATAGCACATCAGACTAGGCACAATCCAAATGTCCAATAACCGCACAGGGCCAGGGGCTGCTGTGTTGGCCGTGATGCTGTAGGGAGTGTGGGGTGTGGGCCTGGGCCTGTGGAAGAGGTTCTTTCATTTTCTGAAGTGAGAGGAACGGCTGCAACTTCGTACCCTGGAAATTTTGTGCACGTGGTCTGTCCTCTTGGCAACGTGACGAAGCCCTTCCCCACCCCCCCTGCCCAAGGTCACCTTTGACTCTGAGCTTTGACTCAGTGGCACTGGAGGTGGAGGAATTCCCAAAGCAGGAAGGGCGGGAAGTGGTCCTCGGAAAGGGGAGAACCCTGCCCAGCAGCCTCTGCCCCTCGGCATGGGGAGGCTGCGACCCAGGCATGCAGGGCTCTGGGCCCTCGGGGCGGGGGCTCCCTCGTGCTCCTTGGCCACTGCCCCTCTGTGGACACTGTCCCTCTGGCCGCTCTCCCACAGCAATTCCGGATGCTCATGGCCAGCACCTCGGCCTGCTACCAGCTCTTCCGAGAGAAGCAGAAGGAAGGCCATGGCGAGGCCATCATGTTTAAAGGTGAGTGCCCACAGGGCCCTAGAAGGGAGCAGAGGGCTGAGCCCCCAGAGAAACCCTCGGGAGGATGGGCTCATGACCTCTTTGTCCCTAAGCACCCAGTTCCACCTCTAAAGGCGGCTGGTCCACTCCATGGCTGTCACCAAGGTGGGAAGCAGCCCTGGCTTCTGGTGACCCGCACTGTGGCCAGCTGGACCACGGAGCTGACCGCAGCTCCTTATTACCATCAACAGTGCCACCCACGTGCCTCTTTAGGAGCTGGAGTTTCCTTTAAATGGTACCAGACCCACAGGAGGGTTAAATGGTTCAAAACTGCCGTACAGTCTGCTCTCGAGGAGCTTGTGTTTCAGAAAGGGAGGAAGAGAGAAACGTGCCTTCGTTGGAGGGGCAGGAAGAAAAGGGGGCGTCCAGGGGCCTGGTGGGTATACAGCCAGGCACCATCCCTGTGGGTCCCAGAGGGAGAGAGTACCACACCTCCATCACTGAGACGTCCCCGTAATTGGGACACACACAGACGGGGATGAGGCTTGCTCTTCAATTAACCATGAAAAGAGGGAAAGCTGATCAGGCCAACACAGTGAGCCAGGTTAGACAGGACATGCCAGTTTCTTCGGTTTTTCTTAAGTTACTTTCTGTCACTTTCAGCTGGTTTCTCCGGTCTGCCTGCTTCCAAAACTCTGCGTCCCTAAGGCCGGTTGATACTCACACGCGTCACTGCCCTCCGCGTCCAAAGGCAGCGGCGTCCGGGACAGACAAGCCCAGTCTGAGACCCCCGTCCTTGTTGAATTCTTCGCCGACGGGAATTAGTTTTCTTGAACTGGCAGGCATAGGTCTTGACTTTCTGGAAGCTACTTGCTAGATTAAGCCTACCTCCAAAGCTACCCATAGATAGGACCTAGGAACCAGTATCTTTGTTCGAATAGGTCCAAGGGGCGATGCGGAGACAGCTCAGGGACAGGGCGAGAGCCCCCCTCTCTCTGCCACTGCCGAGCTGGAAAAAGCTGGGAGGACCAGACACTCCTCCCAGAGCAGGACGTGCCCCTGGCGCTATGACCTTGGACAAGTCATGTAACTTCTCTGTGCCTCCACCTCCCCGTCTTTAATTCTAGCAGCTCCCTCATAGAAATGTGGGGGAGATGACTGAGTTAATCCAGGTAAAACATCTGGAAGAGTGCCTGCCACACAGTAGGTGGTCCGTGAGCAGTAGGTGTTACGCATCAGGGCAGAAGCCACCTGGGCTCTCGCGGTGGACCAGGAGGCAGATGCCGGCACAGACCAGGGCAGGGGCCAAGCGTGAGGCGGGTCTGGAAAGCCGGAAGGTGACACCTCTGGGCATCCTGCTTCTGCCACACTCGCCCTGGAGGGCTGCTGGTTCCTCAGAAGCAGCTCCAGGTGTGAAACGCAGGTGGCTAACTGGGCCACCCCACCCTCTGGCCAGAGAGGGAGCAAGGCAGCTGCCACCCCGTCCGTGGCCCAGGCAACGTGGGCAACCCTGGGGAAAGGAGCGTGGGCTGCCTTCCTCAGGCACAGGGCACCTCCTTTCCCCTGGGAGAGCTCCCCTGGGCCCCGCCTGTTCCCCGTCTCCCTCCTCCTAGCAGTTAGCCCAGAAGCTGGCATACCTAAGGCTGAACGGTCCTCTTCCTCTGACCCCACAGGCTTGGGCGGGATGAGCAACAAGCGGATCACCATCAACAAGATTCTGTCCAATGAGAGCCTCGTGCAGGAGAACCAGTACTTCCAGGTAAGGGTGGGGCTTTCATGATTATTCATCCAAACCCTGGTCACCTGAACTCTCACCGCGTGGGGTGGACTGAAGAGTCCACGAGATACCGTGTGGCCAGCACTTAGCGCTGGGCGTGATTCATTTGCTGAGCACGTACTAGTATTCTTGCTGGATCTTCTCCCTCGCTCTCTCGTCACTGCTGTTACTGAGCACTGCTGGGGAGAGGGGTTCTGGGGAGGGCCGGGGTCCTGGGTCTGAGGCTGCCGACAGGAGTCGACCTGACAGAGGTGGCGGGGATGTCCTCTCACTTGTCCTAGCGCTGCCTGGACTGGAACCGTGACATCCTCAAGAAGGAGCTGGGGCTGACGGAGCAGGACATCATCGATCTGCCCGCTCTGTTCAAGATGGACGAGGGCCGCCAGGCCAGAGCCTACTTCCCAAACATGGTGAGGCGCTTGGGACCCCAAAGCCCATCCAGGCCCATCACAGGGCAGCCAGGCCCAGCAGGCCCCCTGGCCAGATGCCGTCCAATCGGAAGGCCCGGGTCCCGGTCCTGGCTGACATGCTGTGTGGCCTTCCCCACCCACCCTAAGCTCTTGCCCTCTCTGGGCTGCATTCTCTCTGAGGGCAGACGTGCTGGTCTCAGCTGCCTCACTGGGCTCCTGGGAACCTTTACCTTAGAGAGATGGGAAGGGCTGTGTAAGTGAAAAAGGCCCTTATGGACAGGGGATGGGCAGGGGGATTCTTGTTATAGAGGGGAGTCTTCTATGAGACAGAGATTAGAACACACATGTAGATACATGCATGTACATGTGAATACACATGTGTGTGCATGCACACACTGGTGTGTACACATATAGCCATGTGCACAGGTGTGCGCATGCACATACATACAGAAGCAGGCCGTCTGCTTTTCTGCTTCTGCCATGTATAAGCGGCTTAGCCCCCTCTGCGCCTCAGTTTTCTCATCCGTAAAGTGGGGATAAATCACAATACCTGCTTCACAGAGTTGTTGGGAGGGTCCCCTGAGCTTAGCATGGGGCCAGGTGCATAGTAGGTGCGCACTGAACAGGGGCTGGTGCCCCGCCCCCCACCGCAGGTGAACATGATCGTGCTGGACAAGGACCTGGGCATCCCCAAGCCCTTCGGGCCGCAGGTGGAGGACGTGTGCTGCCTGGAGACGCACGTGCGCTCCCTGCTGGAGCCCCTGGGCCTCTGCTGCACCTTCATCGACGACATCTCTGCGTACCACAAGTTTCTGGGCGAGGTGCACTGCGGCACCAACGTGCGCAGGAAGCCCTTCCCCTTCAAATGGTGGCACCTGGTGCCCTGACCCTCGGGGCTGCCGCCTGCCGGTGTCCGCCTGCCGAGACCGCGCTGTGGCTCGGCCGGCCCTGTGGCTCTTGGGACTGCGAGGAGCCCGTCCGCGATGACCACCGAGAACCTGCAAAAAACAAAACCAAGAAAGTGTATGACTCCCAGGACCTGGAAATTACAAAGCTCACGGGGGCCACACAGCGAGGTCTCGGGGAGAGAGAGAACGCCCAGGCCTGGGGTTTTCTGCTTTTATCGGGGTCGAGGGTGGGGGCCTAGGTTCCCCGGGCTTACCCTTTATGGGCAAATCTGAAACACAAGAGGGGCATTTTAAAGCATGGAAGAGGGGAAAACAGGCTCCCCATGTGGTCAGCCATCAAACTCCACCCAGAGCTCGACCACGAAGGAGATCTCTACAGCGAAGGAGCCTGTGGGGAAGGGTCAGGTGTGGGGCTGGCAGTGAGACTCTTTGAGAAAGCCGTCTGGGAGGTGGACGCTTCAGCCAGGTACATGCATTATATTAAAAAAGAAGAAGAAAACCCAGCTCTCAGGGCTGCATTATAGGGGGCTTGTCACTTCCCTGCTTTCCTGAGCTCTCCCCTGGGGCTTCCGCCTGCCGGACCGGACGCACGGGGAGACCTTCAGGAGTTGAGGAGGGATTTGGGGTATCTGTGCCTTGCCTTTCCTCAAAGACCCTCAGCGTCCACTGAAGCCGCCCCCAATGAGCCTCAGCTCTGTCCTCCCTCAAAAGTAGCTGAGCATTTGGTCAGTAGCAGTAAAACCCTGACATGAAAAGCAAAACAAAACTTCATATGCCCGAATCATTCCCTAAAGAAGCCTTGGTCTCCTGCCCAAAACTGAATGAAGGTGAAGGGAAGGAGGTTCTGAGCTCGCCAGTTCTCCTCGTAGCCATGCCCCGAAGGTCAAGGTAGATCACGTGGAAAGGGACCCTGGGACCCTGATGTAGCTTGACCTGCCATCATTTCAAACTCACCTCCTTTGGGGTTGCAGGTGGTTGCCCCAGCCATTCACTCCTTGCCAGCCTCTCCCAGCCCCTCCCCCTTGGCCTTCTCTCTGCAGTGTTGACGCCACTGCTAGCCTCCCTGTTCCCTGAGGGTCCAATAATGTCGCTTAGAGCCTCCCCAGGAAGCAGATTTTATCAGAGCAGCCTTCTCCATTTTGGAGATGCTCCTTATGCCCCATCTTTCTCATGGACACAGGCTCTCCCAGATGCTCGGAGATTTCTCCCCAGACCAGCACCCTTGTGGTCTGAGAATTCAGTGCACAAAGAGGCCCTGGGGTCAGCCACACCCATCTTCTCTTGCCTGGTTCTCAGTTCCAGGGCCAGTCTCTAGCCCCCTCCTCTCACAGGGCCCCTGCTTCCTATTCCGGACACCGGCCCCTCGGGCAGCTAGGGAAGGGGTCTGGACTTCTTCATCACTCAGACTCTCCCTGGGGATATAATTCAAGGCCTCCTGCCCAGGCGTCAGACCCAACAAGAAGGACCTGGCCCAGCCTCCAGCCAGAACAGCCGAGTCTGGGCTAGCCACTGGCCTTAGGGATGGACTGGTCATCCCACAGAAGTGCACCAGTGAGTCTGCTGGAGACCCTCTCCTTGGAGCCTAACCGACTGAAAAGCCCCAACCCCAACTAACAAAAGCTCCTTCAGGGCCAGCCGATGCCAGGAGAATAAATGAATCCCAATTCCACACTGAAGGTCAAAACGAACTGATTTATAACCAGTGAAAGGATGATGACGCTGTATTCTCGGGAGAAAGGGATTTTCTTCCCAGGCTGTTTCGTTCAGTCATTGCATAAACATTTGTTGTGTGCCTACTAAGTGCCAGGCACAGTGCTGGCTTCTGAGGATTCCGTGGTTAGCTGGACACGCGGTCCCTGCCTCGTGGAGCCCCTCAGTTCCCAACGTGCCACACACACACTTAAATGGCCAGCATTCACCCTTTCCCGCAGTGCCCTTTAGAAGTGCCAGGCTGCTGTGTCCAGGAAATGCGCAGGTCACGGCACTGTCTGCAGTCACGGTCTCAGTGAAATGGGAGGCAGAGGGTCTTCATCAAACAGACCTCCTTCCCGTCCAGCTGGGCCCGGACCACCCACCAGGTGACCCCAGAGCCTTCAGGACATGTTGTGCCTGCCCCCATGGGGACAGTGGCCCCTGCCTCAGGGGGACAAAGCCCCAGATCTTCTCTCCAACCCCAGGGCTGGAGACACCAAGTGCCTATTTGAGGGTGTTTTTCTGGAGACTTCGAGTTTGTCGTGTGTGTTTGGTTAACGTGGGTTTTCAGGTTTGCTCTCATTTTTTTCTGGTCTCTCTTAAGGGGAAGTGAGTGCCTCCCATGTGGAGAGGGTGTGTGTTTATAGATCTTTCTAAAGCTCCCCCCGTCGATAAGTCAGTAATTCCTGGTGACGCCGGAACCGTTAGGGCTCCGACACCCACTCCCATTTGTTCGCCCGCCTGTGTGGCTACCCGCGGCGTGGACCCCCCTCTGCCCCAGCACCGTGGACTCACTGCTCTTCCTCACCCCCTCCACCACTTCCTATAAATGTAGGCCTAGAATATACTGTGTTGCAAAACTCAGCAAAGTTCCCGTTTCGATCTTTATTTCGAAATACTTCATGTAAGAGGGCAGGGCTGTCATGAAGATGGAACGGTTTCAACCCTCTGGACAAGAGGCCGTGAGTCAGATCAAAGACGAGGAGAGAGCATTCAGTACAGCAGCAATGACATGAAATGAACGGTCGGAGGGGAAGTCACGTGGCTGTGGGTGTGACGTTTGCCGCCGTTTCATGGGCCCAGCCTAGAGTGAGGCAGACCGTGCTCTACGACCTCTGACCTTCTGGGCACAGGGTCAGGGCTCTCAGTGGGGTACCTCAACATTGGAGTGTGTGGATTCCCCACACACTCAGGGGATGTGTATCACATGGCCACCACCCAAAGTCAAGACCGACACCCACACTAAGGTCTGACTGTGATTTTGTGGCATTCCCCAGAAGCAGACCCCGAGATGAACATTTGAGACCAGTGCTCATTAGACCAGTGCTTTATTAGGGAAGTATGTCTAGGAGAAACCGGGAAGGGGGTAAAGGGAGCAAGATGGAAAAAGAGAAGGAGCCAAACAAGAGTGTGATCTCAGCCGCAGCCTCAGCCTGCGCAGGGGAGAGCTCCCGAGCCCACGGGGCAGCTCAGAGTTCTGGCACCTGCAGCTGGAGTTTTGTGCACCTGCACCAGTCGATCACTGGCTGTGAAAACCTGGCTCTGCATGGGCACAGGGCACTGGAAATGCACAGGCAATTGTCTAAAGAGCATCACAGCTGTAGTGATTTAGCAGCAAAGTCCCAGGAGCTGGGGATGAGCTCACAAACCCAGGAGAGGATCGGGGTCGTGCTCCGAATGTATCCACTACTCTGGGTAAAACCATGTTCTCATAATACGGAGTCATCACTCATAGGTGTTTATGATTTGACCCATGGTATAAAAATCCATACAACATAGCCATAGCATAACAGGATTTTTGTGAACAAACTCCTGGGGCCCTAAAATAGAGCCCCCCATTTGCTTGCTAGGCCTAGAAGCCACTTCCAAGCCCTTTGGGCTGCACCTGGCAGCTTCTTCCCCCCTTATCCCCCTCGTGGGCTTCTGGATGGATGTTCTGCTGCAGCCACTGCAAACAAAACTCACTAGTTCTCTTACTCCCAGACTTCATTCATGGGTCCAGCCCCCTGAGGTCACACTTCTCTTTTATACCCAACTCATGTGGCCCAACGCACAGCAAGGCCAGTCTTCCATGGGGTCTCCTGCCCCACCTGTTCCTGAGAATCCCCAAGGGATGCTGGTGTGTGAAACCCACACGGGTGGTGTCTTCACACGTGGCCACTCATCTCAGAATAGGCGAAAGCCACCCAGAGACTTCCAGAATAGTAGTTCCCACGAGAAACATAATGCAAGACACATAGGTCATTTTAAACTTTTTAGTAGACACATTTTAAAAAGTAAAAAGCTAGCGAAGTTCATTTTAATAACATGTTTTATTTAAACTAATATATCCAGATTATTGGCATTTCAACATGAGATAAAACTTTTTAAATATTTTTAATCCTTGCCTGAGGATATGTTTATTGATTTTAGAGCAAGAAGAAGGGGGTGAGAGAAAGAGAGAGAAGCATTGGTTGATTTCTATACATGCTCCAATCAGGGATCAAGCCTGCAAACTTGGCATGTGCCCTGACCAGGGATCGAACCTGCAAACTTTTGGTGTATGGGACAGTGCTACAACCAATTGAGCCACACAGCTGGGGCAAACTTTTAAATATTAATAAAATATTTTACATATTGTTGGTAGTAAGCCTTTGAAAGCTGTTGTACATTTTACACATATCACATCTGTATTTGGACTAGTGAGATTTTAAATGCTCAATAGCCACAGGTGGCTACCATACTGGAAGGCACAGTTCTGGAAGTCTCTCTGCCAGGCTGAGCCCCAGTTGTAGAAATAGGCACATTTCTTAAAGCCCCAGAGTCCAGCTAGACTGGCTGCAATGACCAATAAAGGTTTGTCATTATAATACCAAAAAGAGAAGTATAAAGTAAGCACTGGTTCTCTCCACCCTGGTGTGCAGAGCTTTGCCCCTCTAGAAGGTTCTCTTGCCTAAACCATGGCTGCCGCCATGTCACCTGGCCTGGCTTCCTTCTCAGCGAGGGGCATGCCTTTGGCCAAGTCAAAATGGGAACCCCACCAGCCCATGGAAAGGGAAAACATAACTCCCTCACCCCTAGCCCCCTTCCCTTTACCTCTCCCTGGGACGCAACCTGATTCTGCATTTTAATGTAAGATGTTGTCTTGGGGCCCCAGGTGAGGCCTCATTACCCCAGGCCCTTCATTCCAGAGCTGAGCCACGCCATGGCATAGCCAAAAGCCTGTGGAAGTGGAGTTCTCCCCACCCCCAACAAAAGAACAACTAGGGATGAATTCCGCCTCCCCAGAGGGACTTATCTGGGATCCTCACCCAAGTGACATTAGGTCCAGGAGACTAATTGTTACAGAACAGACCCAGGGGGGTGCGAATGATATACTATTGCCAAATGGACCCACCCTTGTGCTCCAGGGGTCCCCCACCTCGTACTGGGTTCACCTTGCCCACCACCAGGGAAAGACATCTCTCAATGCCAGAGATTGGTGAAAAGGAAAGGGATTATTTATTTAAAGAGTTATACAAACTTAAGAGTAATGACAATGTCTTCATTGAGATTGCAAAGTCCTTTAGAACACCCACAAATGCACAGTCCTTCCTTCCCCTCTGCCCAGTCTTGGGTACCATATTACAGAAAAAGAAATAGAAGCCCACATGGTTCTTCTCTGCCCAACCCATGTGGTCCCAAAAAGCCCCCATATGGCTGCCATCCCTGGGTTTAAATCCCAGTGCCAATCTTCCTCTGCCGCACCATTTCCAACTCCTCCCACAATTGGCCACACCTGCCAGCATTCCCATATTTTTCCAGCTTTACTGGGCTGCCACAGTAAGT